CTCATCACTTCTTATCATTATGTGCCTGAGGAGGACGGGGGAATCATGTTGAAACGTNGCATAAAACTTTAACCAGTGATTGTTGTTCCATAAAGCTGATGTCTATATATCGTACTCACAATTGCTATGTGCCATTCAAAGACATCATTTAAGTTTATGGGATATTTAAACTGACCTGAATATATGTGTTTGAAAGTTTGTGGGTATATGTAATCCTAGAAAAATTACCAACCCGTTCTTAGCATATTATCTAAGGAAGTTGCTCCAACCCATTTCTGGATGCTAGTTTTTGAGATTTTCACCATGTTAAAAACCAAATTTTGCATAAATTTTAGAATTTATACAAAGATGAACCATGGCTTTTAACATGGTGAAAAAAGTAAAAAACTAGCAAGCCAATCATTGGTTAGAGCAACTCTCATAAAATGTGACATTTTACGTCTAGCCAGTATTCTTCTTACATATTTCAGATTCGGAAGATTATGGATTTGCATTTCAAATATTGTATATTATTATTCAAACTAACTTCACAAACACTACTCTATCACTAGAGGTTACGTCTACATTCCTGTGCCTGTGCTTTCGTAACATTGCTTAACCGCAATGTTACAACCTAAAATTCCTAAACGTGCCGGCATACCACCCATATATATCACTTGTGTGCCAAGGGTTGGGCCATATTTGTTGGGTTAGTAATATGCTGAATAAGAGAAATTGAATGGAAATAATTACTCAAAACCTTAATAAATATAATATAGCTTGGACTCTAAGACACTTTATCTCTTCTACTATCCATTCTCAATCAACAATCACACACTCAATCAATAATAAACTAAGAAAAAATCAAATAATCTTACAATTTTCTATTATGATATGAGGAAATTACACTTAAACAAATAAGGAAATAAACCATTTGTTAACTTAGAAACTTCCCAACAATTGTGATTTCTTATATATTTTTCATTTGTTTGACAAATAATCAAAATAAATCTTCAAATGCATGTCATTTGCTGTAGAAGGTCCATTGTAAGGTTTTATAATTTTACATATAAAATAAACACACTTTTCTACTAGAAATTAGAACTGAGTATCGATTACCAACTTGACATCAATTATTGACAGCAAGCTATCTATCAATAATCGAAATATATTTCAACTGAGAAACCTTGTAAATACAAAAAGAAGCATGCCAAAATTTCATGGTGTTGTGTACCTAATTAGTTCTTTCCAAACTATCAACCAGTTGACAATTTTCGGCAATACTTTATACTTCAACTATCAATTCTTATATTCAATCCTACACTTATATTTTCCACTTATCATGCTTTTAGAGAACGGTCAAGACGGATTTACATAAGCCCGACTTGTTTCTGAATTGACCATATATATATTTGTATGTATTTAAAAAAAAACATTTATGTAATAAATAACGTTTAAATCAAAATTTCATGGGTTATTTTTTGTGTCATAGAAGTATATTAATGCTTTGATAATTTATCATAATTTATTGTGGGTAAGTTATGTGCTGAAGTGAAATTATGTGGAGGGGATTACAAGTTGTTAAAAGGTACACTGGAGAAAATATAACTTTTTGCATTTAATCGATTATGAAATTTGATAATCAATGATCGAAATTATAAATTAACAGTGAGGATAATTGATTATTTCGATTATTTTACCCAGCCCAATTAGAGACAGCATGAGAAGCAGAAAATGACTAAAAATTAGAAATTTCCTTATCAAACCTTTTTTATTCGCTGGAATTATCAATGACAATCTTAGACTCTCATTACTATTCTAGAGTTGATTAGCAACAAATGATTGAATAATTTTTATGTAGCCTAAGTCTATATGAAGACTGTTGAACTTTCGAATGCCAGATGCTCTTGTTGTGTCATAGATAACCATTTAGTAAAGCTGCGGCATATGAACGGCCTTGGTCGTTTTCCATAATATCGATATTCACGTGCTGAATATGCAATTGAAAGTAAAATAATTCTGATTGGATGATGACGCTCTATCTCACAGATGATTAAACAACTGACAACAAATATCAAACTGGTTTTAAACTATAAATCATGTCGGCAACGCGATAATCTTGTTGTGGAAGCACAGGCATATGTGAAAGATCTAAAAAAAATTGACAAAAATCGGCGACAAACACTGTTTTGCCCGCAATATAAATTAAAAGTTAAAATCAACATCATAATGTATAGATCTGAATATGACATATGTCAAGCTATTACGCACTGCGTCTCATACCTTGACTGCAACAGCCACCTTTCCATATCACAGTGGTTTGCAATTTGATTGGATTGTATGCTAGTGAATACAGTCAATCAGAGCTCTCGACAGAAAGCCACAATGTTCACGTCTTTCCGTCGAGGATTCTGATTGGCTGTATTATATTACAAAAAAAAGTTGCTATTGCAGTCAAGGTATAAGTTCGTAATAGCTTGAGATTGTGAAGATGTAAAATAACATGTATTGGTTTAACTTAAAATGAATATTATTATCTAACAAAAAAAAGAAAATACAGATCAATCTTAGCTATCTGTATCACATTTCATTAGAAAACAGCATGAAGTTCATCTACAAATTAATGAAATGCACCAATAGAAGCAACAACAGGCAAAGTGGATATTTTTACAGTGACATCTTCATTGGAGAACTACAATAATGATGTACAAGGAAAATTTACTAGAAAATTTGAATAAATTTTGGAAAAACTAAGTATACCTTAAAAATAGTTGACTTATATAGTGCAAATTACTTTTCAGTTTCTCTTGCACCTTAGATTAAGATATTTCTGTGAATGGAGAAAATATTTATACTAAAGCACTACTAAACAATAAAGTTTTTAGGTTTTTCTTAAAGGGACATCTTTTTTGTGACTAATCATATTTTAGTCTCAGAAACGGGAATTTTTTAGTTAAGTCAATCAGCAATCAGTTATAGTGTTCACAGCCCACCTTTGAAATTTGAACCTTCAAATCCATGTGTGTCCAGAATTATCCGCCATTGAAAGTTAAACTGACAATTTAAGATACTCTGTGATAGAAATAGTGAGTACAATTCCTAGTTTGAGATATTTTTGAAGGAATTATGCGATTTTCGTACATGCCTAGTACTTCTGAAGACTATTTACATATATTCAAGATTAAAATCAACCCCCTAAAATGTACACCTGTCCTGTCAAGATATCACTAGATTTTAAAAATCTCAGTTCGGATGGTAAATTGTCCCATAAGACGAGATCATGCGTGGGGCAAGAGGGAGGCAGATTATTTTCTTATAATTTGTCAACCAGTCCAGACTCATGTCCCTGTAAGCAAACAGCAATTTGCCCTTATGGTGAATAATTCTAGAAAAACATGGTTTTAAAAACTGAGGTATTCAAATCAATTTAGCTAATTAATACAGAAAATTAATTTTGAAAAACTTCCCAAAATGTGCACAAATTTAGGTTTCCACAAATATGGTTTTAAGGGAAATTCCACACAATTTTGTTTCTACTAAAATAAGTAGCATCATTTCACAGTAGATTTAATCACAAATTCACAAGAACATTTCATTTGATTTCATTTCCACCATTTGACATGCTCTTTAGTATGGAAGCACATAATAGTATAATAATCGTTGACAGGTTTTCAATATCGGTTGTTAAACAAAGGTACAGCCATTCTTTTAGGACCTGTAAATAACAATGAAATTTATTAGACTCTGAAATAACCAAAAGAATTTGCCTTTGCAATTTGATTTCAAATGTCCAGTGATGCAGGTAAGAGGGGCTGACATGGAAAAAGCGTCTAGTTGTTCAGATGGGACAAGAAACCAAGGCCCCATGCGGTACAGGCTGTGCAAGGTTAAGATCCCTCGACAGTTGGAAATTGAAAAAGAACTTGCTATCCCGCTGTCCTGGCAAAATTTCCCTTATTGCACTTATTGCGCTTGGTCTTGACTACATTAGCCCTAATGGTGCAAAAAAGTATGTTGTAAAACTCCATTCAATTCTTTCATTTCATTTTTATCATTGGTGATACACAGGACTAGTGAGAAGTAACAAAGACTTTGTCCTGCAAAACATTTGATCACATCCTGGGTAAAAATTGATGAAAACCAAAAACCTTGTGAATAGCTAACTGTCCAAAGGAATTTTTGTTGCTCAGACTAAGCATGTAAAATAAATAGTTTTGCACAAAAGTTTAAGATGATATTGCCATCTAAATTTCTAAAGAAAAAAAGATTTTTACCTCTAGAATTTTGCAGGGCATTTCTCCTCTCTTTACTATCATAATACCATATAGTAATTGCATACCTAAATAAAATGGATGACCTTGTATGAAAGTCCAAAAATAACTTTGGAAAATACATCATGTTTCATCAAAAAGCAGGGTTTAAGTTAAGTCATAATACATTGTAATCATTAGAGAGCAGCGTTCAATTTAGATTTATCACACCAAATTTCAACCTGGGTTAATCATATTAAAGTTTGATTCACGTTTCTTAAATATTTGGAAGCAATTCAAAATGTTCCAGTTGCAGACTTCATTTCAATCTTGACAATTGAGAGTTGCCATATATTTCTAGATTTTGCAGAAGATTCTCACAAAAAGCATACAATTTGAATAGAGTTACAGATTGTTGTGATAAATTTACATTTTGGCTAATCATTGGAAAAATGGATTGCAAAAGGGGTCATTTTGACTCACAAACTGTGATGAGATACCACTTAAATAGAACCCTGCTTGAAAGTCAAAAGAAACTCTCTTGCTATCCAATTTTTCCTATGATAAACCAAAATTAAAATTTGTCATCTACAATTTACGATCTGCACATAAAATCAAAATGTAAATTTATTTGTTTTGTGAGAATTTTCTGCCAGATCAAGAAAGATAAGATTAAAATTCTGCAGTCTACGTAACCTTATGGAATGTCAAAATTTCTTAGTCTAAAAACAGCTGACTCCATTGTATCTTATTAACAAGTTATTATTTTCTTATATAATAATATTTAATATTGTATATCTACAACTTCAACTTTTTTAATTGCTACAGAATCCATTTCAAAAAATGAAATGCAAATCAAAAGATCAATTGAATAGCCAAAACTGAACTTTGCAGCAACTAATTTTTCAAACTAAATTGTTCTCTGCAAGGTAACCAGGAAAATATTTGACAATGAAAAAATCAATCAGTATTTCTTCAAAATAGTGAGTACAGAAATTTCAATAAAAAAATAACATCACATTAATAAAGCAACATGACAGGCTGACAATTATAATATAAATGAGAATTGTTTGTTCTCAATTTACAGATTTGTCCAAACCCAATTCTTCTTAAAGATGGGTTCCCTTATTTTCATGAAAATGGAAATTTTAATACTTATATGAATAGAAAGTAAAGGTGTTCTAATGACTTGGAAAAATACCTGTTTGTCTCACATGCTCATAGTTAATTTATAATTAGCTAAATTAGACAGGGTTCATACAGCACTTTGACTCAAAAATTCAAAGACTTTTCAAGGAATCTGGGCTTTGAAATTCAAGGACTTTTCAAGGATATTAGCCTGACAGAATACACATGTACCTAACTTCTGAACTGTGAAATCAATAAAGATAGTTAATATTTGTCAATGGGGTTAATGATAAAAATATACACAATTTGACTCAAAATTCAAGGACTCTTCAAGAGAAAATGGGTTTTTTATGGTGTTTTCAAAGATTTTTTTTGGAATCAAGGTTTTTCAAGGCAATGGACGAATTCAAGGGTTTTTCAAGGCTGTGCGAACCCTGTTAGAAGAGAATTACCAGTAGAATTCCAATGAGTGGCCGATCAAAAAAGGTCAAAAAGTACTTTTTTGTTTATCCAGACTGTACATACAACGTTATTTATGCTTGGTTAAAACTCTTAATTATATCCAATAAGAACGTAATGATATGATTAAGAATACATGATAATTCATTAGAAACATCAATTCATCAAACAGTTTGCTTGACCCTAAAAAAATAAGGAAACCCATCTTTAAAAAAGACTGTACCCAAAGCCAAAGTATTTCTTATTTTGTTCAAACAAGTTAATTTATACAATGTATTTCGTTTAATCAAAATAATATAATAACTAATTCATTTAAATGAAATAATTTTAAAAAGTATTGGAAATTGTGCCTAAGGGTTTCCCTATAAATAATATTCCTTTCAATTACCTTTCTTTAATTGTTTCTCTAACTTCGTGCGGATTTCTTCTATCAGACCAGAAATATAACACTCTATCGAAGGTTGGTTCAATATTTGCCACTAAATCTTGTCCTTCAGGATAAATACGTAGCATTCCACCATGTTTCTACATTTAAAAAAGATAAGAATAGAAAAGAAGGAATAATGACTAGTTTCTGTTTTAGGTAATCTAAAATTATTGTATAAACAAAGTGAAAAGTTTTTTGAAATTTTTCAATTAAATGCTTCACTGCCGAAAAATCAATGATGTAAGCTTACTGATGCTATAGGATTATACATACATGTGTGGGCATATAAAAATAAAAAGAATCCATAAAGAATTGTAGCCTGTAGAGTGAGCACGAGTTGCCAATATAGCTAATAGAGTGAAAACACTAAGTTGGACATGATATTTCGGTGAAAAATTATCAGATCATCACCAAAACTAGGAATTTCATTTTCTATTTCTATATATGTCTTTTCTATATATGACCGAGCTCAAGAAAAGACAAGGTCTCTTTTAAGCTTTCAATCACAGATAATTCTGGACAAACATGGATTTGAAGACTCAAATTTCAATGGTGAGCTTTGAAAACTGCTATACATTTATAAGCTTAGAGCTAATAAATTCATCTTCTGAGACTAAGGTATAATTGGTCAACAGGATGCTAACCTGTCCCTTTAAAATTGATACTTCTAATACACTTACTGTAACATCCCATCCTTTATTCAAATAATAAATACACGTAACACATCTTCCATCTCCATTAGGATTATCTACATGTTTAATATAGCCAGTTTTATTACCAGGATAACATGCTACCATAGCCTAAAATATAAAATAATTTATATTATAAACATGTTTAATATAGCCAGTTTTATTACCAGGATAACATGCTACCATAGCCTAAAATATAACATTATTTATATTATAAACATGTTTAATATAGCCAGTTTTATTACCAGGATAACATGCTACCATAGCCTAAAATATAACATCATTTATATTATAAACATGTTTAAAATAGCCAGTTTCATTACCAGGATATCATGCTACCATAGCCTAAAATATAACATTATTTATATTATAAACATGTTTAAAATAGCCAGTTTCATTACCAGGATAACATGCTACCATAGCCTAAAATATAACATTATTTATATTATAAACATGTTTAATATAGCCAGTTTTATTACCAGGATAACATGCTACCATAGCCTAAAATATAACATCATTTATATTATAAACATGTTTAAAATAGCCAGTTTCATTACCAGGATATCATGCTACCATAGCCTAAAATATAACATTATTTATATTATAAACATGTTTAAAATAGCCAGTTTCATTACCAGGATAACATGCTACCATAGCCTAAAATATAACATTATTTTTATTATAAACATTTTTAATATAGCCAGTTTTATTACCAGGACAACATGCTACCATAGCCTAAAATATAACATTGTTTATATTATAAACATGATTAATATAGCCAGTTTTATTACCAGGATAACATGCTACCATAGCCTAAAATATAACATCATTTATACTATAAACATGTTTAAAATAGCCAGTTTTACTACCAGGATAACATGCTACCATAGCCTAAAATATAACATTATTTATATTATAAACAAGTTTAAAATAGCCAATTTTACTACCAATATAACATGCTACCATAGCCTAAAATATAACATTATATAACTACAAACATGTTTAATATAGCCAGTTTTATTACCAGGATAACATGCTACCATAGCCTAAAATATAACATCATAGAACTACAAACATGTTTAATATAGCCAGTTTTATTACCAGGATAACATGCTACCATAGCCTAAAATATAACATCATTTATATTATAAACATGTTTAAAATAGCCAGTTTTACTACCAGGATAACATGCTACCATAGCCTAAAATATAACATTATTTATATTATAAACATGTTTAAAATAGCCAATTTTACTACCAATATAACATGCTACCAAAGCCTAAAATATAACATTACATAACTACAAACATGTTTAATATAGCCAGTTTTATTACCAGGATAACATGCTACCATAGCCTAAAATATAACATTATTTATATTATAAACATGTTTAAAATAGCCAATTTAACTACCAATATAACATGCTACCATAGCCTAAAATATAACATTATATAACTACAAACATGTTTAATATAGCCAGTTTTATTACCAGGATAAGATGCTACCATAGCCTAAAATATAACATCATTTATATTATAAACATGTTTAAAATAGCCAATTTAACTACCAATATAACATGCTACCATAGCCTAAAATATAACATTATATAACTACAAACATGTTTAATATAGCCAGTTTTATTACCAGGATAACATGCTACCATAGCCTAAAATACAACATTATTATATAGAGTTGCACTATATATAGGTTGCTAATATAGAGTGAAAACGCTAAGTCAGACAGGATATTTCAGTGAAAAATTATCAGATCATCACGAAAATCCATAGGAATCATCCTTAAAAATGACATTGACACACAAAATAAAAATCAACAGAATCCATAGCCTACAGTACAGTAGTTATAGAGTGAACATGACTTTCACAATATAGTTAATAATTAGCTAGAGTGAAAACGCTAGGTCAAATACGATATTTCAGTGAAAAATTATCAGATCATCACTAAAATCCATAGGAATCATCCTTAAAAATGACATTGACCCACAAAATAAAAATCAACAGAATCCATAGCCTACAGTACAGTAGCCTGTAGAGTGAGCATGACAAGCCAAATAGGAACAGACGGACCGATCCGACGATTACAATATATGCCAAAACTATGCCAGAAAACTTCTTTGCAATGTCTTTTACTGTAAATATCATACCTTTGTTCTTTCTTGGATATCATAACTTTCTAATTGACCAGCACAGCGTAAGATAATATCATCCATACAAGATATCAAAAAGTGTGTATTACAACAACCATTCTCAGAACCATCTACCCATGTTAGCACATCACCACGGATATTTTGGCTAGTGCTATTTGTAGAGTTCACAAGTTGTCCTTCGGTAAAAAGTCCTTTCCGCTGTAATCTTTTGACCTCTTCAAGGACTTCGGTGCCCTTTGAATCACCAAGAAAATTATCGATCACACAAACACCATACTTTGTTAGGCATTCCACAACATACTTGGCAAGCATATCAAACCGAGATGTCAACACTTTTAAATACGTGCCAGTACCCATTTTATCGTCTGACAGTTTACGTACACATTGTGCTTCACCAAGGTTAGCTGGGTTTACACTAGATCCTGTCTGAAAAGATTCAGAAGACTGTTTTTGGCCACTTTGCAGATTTTCGGTTTGTGTGTTTTCCTTACATTTGGAAGAAATATGTTCAGAGAAAGATGCTTCAGTTTCATTTTCAATTTTTTTATTAGGTTTTTCAGCCCCGTTACATCCATTTTCACTTGCTATGTTGCCCACAGGAATGTTCTTTTTGCGAGCACGTTTACAAGATCCCTTATGTTTCTTCCAATCAGCTTTCTGATGCTCTTTACAACAATACCATGTGTCCCTACAACCACCACACAATGAAAGATTTTCTAAAGTTCCACATAACTGACAAACTAATTTCTCTAAGTTGTTTATATTTTCTTCACCAAGTCTCTGTGCCATGTTTTTAATTATCCAAAAGCAGAGACACCTTTGAAGTTATTTTCTTACTGAAATAAATCAGATGAAATTTAAAATTCAATATCCAAAGATTCAAATTGGGGTTTCTAACCTTTGTTTTCACATCAGAGACATCTAAAGCTTCTATTTGCATCATTCCCATTTTAAATGGGAACAGTCAACATTTTCGGGGATTGATTTGGGTCTTTATTGTGCTTTAATAGTCTTAAGAAGTACTAAAACGCACGAAAATCGCATAATCCCTTCAAAAATATCTCATACTAGAAATTTCACGGTCTATTCCTATATATGTGTTTTCTATAATATGGCAAAGTCTCACTAAAATTCAAGTCGAATTTTTAACTTTCAAACATGAATAATTATGGATACACATGGATTTGAAGGCTCAAATTTCGACAATGAGCTGTGAACACTATTACTGACTATGTAAGCTCAAAAAAATTCCTGTTTCTGAAACTAAAGTATGATTGGTCGAACAGATAGTAAAAGTGCTCCTTTAAATCAAAAAAATCATCATTCCAGATTATGATAGCACTATCCCACATTCAGACAAAGAGTGGAATTTGCAAATGTGACATCATAATCTTGTAAGGTTTTTCTGGAATCATAATGGAAGGCCTAAGTAAGAAATTAGAAATGTCAAGTGGAAAATACTTGAGCTAGGATAAAAATGCTGAATCAGGATGCAATCACTATTTTTTAACTATATCTCAGTATTTTTTTGTTGTTGCATAATTTTTTTTTTAATGAAGTCAAGGTTGACCATGATATTAAATATTGCAATTCAAAGTTGAATCAGCTGAGAGATAAATATAACAGGCCTAATGAACATGTTTCATTCAATCACAGACTTATGCAATATTAGCTAATAAATTCAAATTTCTTGCTCCAAAAACAAATAGCTAATCTTGCAGTCTCACATCATTAAAGAATGTTTCTTTTACATGTACTTTGGATTAATGCAATATGGTGCTAAAGGAAAACAATATTTAACATCCCCTAACCCACAATCAACTGAGCACATTAAATGCAGGCTAGTAGAATCAGCTGACTTACCTTTTCTTTCCAATAAATCACATCAGTCCATTCAAACATGTTGTCATGGAACTGAAAAAATATAATCAAGATAGAAAACTGCTATCAATTGAATTTTTGTGTACGTGCAGATTGTCATAAACAGATAAAATGCATCCGGCTGTGCCCTGCCATGTTTACATTATTGGAGAGGTCATGGTGAAGAAAAGGGGAAAGCGGCCAGACAGTTCATTTTTCTTCACATATCCAAAAAAAAATTAGCATGACAAGTTTGCCATGTAAAGCAGAACTCGTTTACCTTTGTTTATAGCTATAAATCAAACTTTTAATACCTGTCAACATAATCTTTACTAAAATTAAAACCACACCGATTTCCTTTTTAATGTTTACATAAAATACGTGTTCCCGAATTCGGCAATCGCTATATTAGTAGATAACCGAGACTACATGCATTAAACATAATCCGAAATACTCTTGAAAGATCAATAAAATTATTTTTTTTTGGTAGAATAAGCGGTAGAATTGTGAACCTTATAGACAGTGGTGATCTTTTGGTATGCGATAGAAAAGTGAATCTTATAGACAGTGATGATTTTTTGATATGGGTTAGAATTGTTAATCTTAAAGAAAGTGATGATTTCTTCGGTATAAAGTAGAATTGTTAATCTTACAGACAGTAATGCTTTTTGGTATGCGGTAGAATTGTGAATCTTATAGATAGTAATGATATTTGGGTATGCGATAGAAAAGTGAATCTTATAGACAGTGGTGATTTTTTGATATGCGGTAAAAAAGTGAATCTTATAGACAGTGGTGATTTTTATGGTATGCGGTAGCCATGTGAATCTCATAGACAGTGATGATTTTTTGATATGGGTTAGAATTGTTAATCTTAAAGAAAGTGATGATTTCTTCGGTATAAAGTAGAATTGTTAATCTTATAGACAGTAATGCTTTTTTGTATGCGGTAGAATTGTGAATCTTATAGATAGTAATGATATTTGGGTATACGATAGAAAAGTGAATCTTATAGACAGTGATGATTTTTTGATATGGGTTAGAATTGTTAATCTTAAAGAAAGTGATGATTTCTTCGGTATAAAGTAGAATTGTTAATCTTACAGACAGTAATGCTTTTTGGTATGCGGTAGAATTGTGAATCTTATAGATAGTAATGATATTTGGGTATGCGATAGAAAAGTGAATCTTATAGACAGTGGTGATTTTTTGATATGCGGTAAAAAAGTGAATCTTATAGACAGTGGTGATTTTTATGGTATGCGGTAGCCATGTGAATCTCATAGACAGTGATGATTTTTTTATATGGGTTAGAATTGTTAATCTTAAAGAAAGTGATGATTTCTTCGGTATAAAGTAGAATTGTTAATCTTATAGACAGTAATGCTTTTTGGTATGCGGTAGAATTGTGAATCTTATAGATAGTAATGATATTTGGGTATGCGATAGAAAAGTGAATCTTATAGACAGTGGTGATTTTTTGATATGCGGTAAAAAAGTGAATCTTATAGACAGTGGTGATTTTTATGGTATGCGGTAGACATGTGAATCTCATAGACAGTGATGATTTTTTGATATGGGTTAGAATTGTTAATCTTAAAGAAAGTGATGATTTCTTCGGTATAAAGTAGAATTGTTAATCTTATAGACAGTAATGCTTTTTGGTATGCGGTAGAATTGTGAATCTTATAGATAGTAATGATATTTGGGTATGCGATAGAAAAGTGAATCTTATAGACAGTGGTGACTTTTTGGTATGCGATAAAAAAGTGAATCTTATAGACTGTGGTGATTTTTTGGTATGCGGCAGAATTGTGAATCTTATAGATAGTAATGATATTTGGGTATGCGATAGAAAAGTATATCATATAGACTGTGGTGACTTTTTGGTATGTCGTAGAAAAGTGAATCTTAAAGACTGTGGTGATTTTTTGGTATGCGGTAGAAAAGTGAATCTTATAGATTTTTTTGGTATGTGGTATAGACATGTGAATCTCATAGACAGTGATGATTTTTTGATATGGGTTAGAATTGTTAATCTTAAAGAAAGTGATGATTTCTTCGGTATAAAGTAGAATTGTTAATCTTATAGACAGTAATGCTTTTTGGTATGCGGTAGAATTGTGAATCTTATAGATAGTAATGATATTTGGGTATGCGATAGAAAAGTGAATCTTATAGACAGTGGTGACTTTTTGGTATGCGATAAAAAAGTGAATCTTATAGACTGTGGTGATTTTTTGGT